TATTAAGTTCTAGATGACTGTATCTGCTTTAGGATAACCACTACAAGGTAAAAAAATAACATAAAACTATATTTTCAGAACGTACATTAATCATACAAAAAACATTTATCTGAAAATACATCTATTGTATCAGTATCAAGTCAGAATTTAAACATAAAAACGAATTCACGTTTCCTGGACACAATAAAGACAATTTTATTCATATTTCTGCATTAACTACAAGTATAAAAATATTTAGTTACTAAAACCATTTAATATTACTCTGTAACTATATAGTACATTCTGTGCAGTACCAATAAATCCAAGTCACATCACTGAATGATTATTCCAAAATTTTACAATGTCTTCATAGCAATTTTTTGTTATTCTTTATAATATCAATAATTAGTTAATGAACTATATACACCACAAAGTGGATTTTCACCCTAACTAAACACCACTGGGAGAGTTTATTTACCACGATGCAATCATGCTACTGAGATTAGTGATATTAACTTCTTGTTACTAATCTGTAAAGATAAGCTGAGATAAATGCATAATCCAGCCCTTTTTAATCCTACATTTAACCAGTACAACAACGCTTTTGTTTTAAATATAATTTTGTATTTAAACTTTCTCTGGTGATATATCAGAGACGTACGCACTTGCTTTAATTATCAAGTTTTGTAGACTTATTAAACTCTCAAAACTTCCCACATATAATATTCATTGTACAAGTTTCTGACATGTTATCTAAATCCATTGTAATTGCATGTTGGTCTACATTAAAGCAGTATACTTGAAAACAAGCATAAATATATCAAATTATGAATAAAACCCTATAACTCGAGCGCTTTCGAAAGGTGGATTTTTTTCTTCATGGGCAAACTGGGAATGGTGGTTTAATAAAATGAGTGATATACATACAGGGAGTTTAGTGACGTCATAAAGGTCATCTGATTTTCCAGGAAATATTTAGTCTATTACTCTATGTACTGTTGTAAGCATCTCAATTCCGGTACAGTGTAACCCACGGTGAGAGTATATGTGAAAAGGTGTTAGGGATATTTTACTTTAGAAATGGATATATATATATAACTATTCTTAAGTGTTTAAGTAAAATAAAAGTGACATCTGGAGACTGATTGAAAAAATATATGTTATGCTAATCAATTTATAAAAACAGGTATGGAAAATTATGTTAAATAAATAGTAATTTTTAGGAAAGTCAGCGTTCACATTACATGAAAAAAATAAGTAAAGAATAAAAATTATTTTTCTGACAGAGAATAAAACAATGAACTGAGATCACTGATTCCAGGATCTAAATTAATTCCGAAAGGTTGAACAGTGTTTAGATTAGTGTTGAATCCTGTTTCAATGCCGATGAGAGTAGCATCGTTAATGGAATGACCGAGTTGTTAAAGTGTTGAGCAATAGGGAGGTCTTTTTCGGTGTTAATAGACGATTTATAGTTGTTGAAACGTTCACAAAGAGTTGTTTGTGTATGTCCTACATGTTTGAAGAAACTTTAATAGATCTAAAGAAATCACTTGTGAAACAAAAAAACAGCATTTACCTTATCCAGTGTAAACAAATGCAATTACCAATATGTAGGACATATACATCAAATTATGTTATTACTTCTTCATTTTTCTTAATATTTCAATGTAATTTTATATTAATCGTTTTTCAAACATGTATAAAGGAAACTGGCTTGACACTTTTTTGCACAAAGAGAATACTACTCATTTCTGATAAAAGTTCTTGACAAATATGAAAACAGTTTTAATTATACACCATATATATATATATATATATATATGGACTAATTTTCAAATGTTGATTAACAAATTAGAATATTGGTTTTCTTGCAGCAAATAAACCTTAATTTTAGATATTCTACTGTACATATATATATGTGTGTGTCTGAATAGCCAGGGGTAAATTCCAGAAAAAGTTTTTCATTGTAGTCAGTATACCTGCAAGACAAAGAAGTAAATAAACACATGCTCCCCCATTGTATTTAAAGCTGTTTTTAATTAAACAGCGTAGTAGACAATGTAAAAATTTGTACTAAAATACATATATTATTTAGTATCTATTTATTTCCTTCATATGACATCACAACGTCGTTTTTTCCGGTCTAATTGACAAGCTTGCCAGTCATTTAGTGCATGTAACTCAATATCTCTTGTGTTCATGTTAAGTTTAATGTCAAAATAATAATTCTGCTGCACCTAAGCATATATTTCTTTTCAAGACTCCATGAACAAACAATAGTTATATGAATCTACATATGAAGATTTTCCTTGTGTATCTTATTGAAAGAACTTCAAATCATAATACAACATCTTATATTAACTAAAACGTATATATGAGATAGATAGATAGATATAGTACATGCAGACTTAAAACTTTCAAAATTTCTAAATAATAAATATGTACATGGAGAATGTATCCCTATCATTGCTAGTATATTAAAGTTACTTTCTTCTTGATTTACTGTTTGTAGGTCAAAGGTATTAAAAACAATGAGCATAAATGTTTTGTCCGTTCACCACAGCCTCTATATAAACTAAAATATACAACGTAATCAGATCTGAGAATTCTTTTGACTGGCCTTAATCAGAACATTCCTGCGGAAAGAAATATGTTAATAATTTAACATATTGGAAGTATTAATAAAAATTATTGTTAAGTGGCACTTCAAAATTAGCGACGGCTGGCACAGATAGTTCTCAAATTAACAAACTTATTTGTTTTGTTCATAGATGATTCCTCAGTAATATTGATATCAACTCTGAGTTTGAGATCTAGTGCTTTAAGACTTACCATTATCCTTTATATTGTGTTTTTAATATTGCTACACGAACACTTTTCTAACTGAAACACCAGTTATTACATACTAAAAACTTACATTATGTTTGGTCCAAGTGTTCTGCACTTACGAGAGACAGTATTTCACTACAGTTGCAAGTTTTTGGATTACCATTATGCGTTCTACGTTCTGAAAATATTCCAAAGTATCATTTCATTAATAAGAAATGAACTTGAATATATTAAAGAAGTCTCTCCTGTAGATCAGCGGTACGTTTACATACTTACAATGCTAAGATCCGGGGTTCGATTTCCTGCGGTGGACAGAGTAGATATATCTTATTGTGTAGCTTTATACTAAGAAAACAACAACGTATTAGAGAAATATCACGATACTATTTGTAAGTTATTAACCAACCTCACAATATATGTAATAATTACTGTTTATATCGGTTTGAAAAAGTAATTCAAACTTTACCGTCGTTTACTTTGAAGTGGCATTTATCTATCAACATTTGAGCTATGTTTTTGTAATATTTTCATTAAAATTATAACATTATAACCTTATTAGGTACACAACATGTTACAGGGACTACTTTCTGTATCAGTCTCATCTCCAAGATTATCATCTATGGATTACCATTATTCTTCTATCACGACTTATAAACAAGGAACATTATGGCTAGTGACAACGATGTTATACGTCTGAAGAAATATTATACTGTAAGAGGGGTTCATTATTACTAGTATGGTTTTATATATCCTGATTAAGTTGAGCTCTTTATAAACTAATCATCCAAAGCTATCTTCTATCTAACTCATATGACCCTAAACTCAGACAGGCCAAATACCTTTTTTTGTATATACTTTGCCTCTATAGAAGGAAATTGAACGAGTTGAACTTTACGATTTCTCCTGTCCTCGGCCTGGTTGTTAGGACGCTCGACTCTCAATCTGAGGGTCGCGGATTCGAATCCTCGTCACCAAACATGCTCGTCCTTCCAACCGTGGGGACGTTATAATGTAAACTAGGTTTCTTGGACGTTTCTTTGCTTATATCTATTTCCTCCTAAGGGATTTCAATATTTTCAATGAGCTTGAAAAATAATTTTATGATTTTTTGTCCAATAGGGAATTTATTGCTTCAACTCACAATTTTTGCACTGCCCAAAATGATCTTGAGAACCTGTGTTTTTTAGCTTTGCAAGCCCTAAAACCACCGATTGTCATGAATGAGAGATGCTAAACTTTAATACTATGTGACTCACATTCCTACAGTTCTTGTGAAAATTAGTTTTTGATAATTGTTGGGTGAGGTCATGGGTATGAAGAAGCAATCCCACTATTCTTTGGTAAAATAGTACTCAAGAGATGGTGATTGGTGGTGTTGACTAGCTGTCTTCTCTCTAGTCTATCACTGCTAAATTGAAACGGCTAGAACAGATAGCATTGGTGTAGCTTTGCCGACATCCAAAACAAACCAAACTCTGGTCCTAAGCAAGCAAAACTAGGCTAACTTGTTAACTTGTTCTATGTTTATTGGCTTTAAACAAATGTGAACTTTTTATTAATACAACTAGTACAAAAAATGATATTATCTATGCAACAATGTTTTGTTTTCTCTTTTTTTTTACCTGTTTGGTTTCTTTCTCTTAGATAAATATGTTTCATATTTTGTACCAATACTAAGTTAATTTCTCTCTCTTTAACGGAAATTAAATTGTAAATTTAAAGATAAAAACTGATAACTCTTTTAGATAAAAATGTTTTGGTTTATATTTTAATGAAGATTGTGTAGTCCCAAACCTATAGCCAAGTTTTCTTGTTTTGCGAAGGGCCTAACTTGATAATTACGGGTCGAGAAATCCTGTTACTTTAAGGCTCATCATAATGTGACTCAACTCAACTTTAGGTTCTTTAAACTGCATTCTATAAACATGGCGGCCGATGGTGAAAAATAAAAAAAAACATAAACAGACATTGTAAGGAAAATCTGACATATAAGACAAGATTCTTAAAAGCGTATTTATCAATTTAATGGTTTGTAATACAGGAATACAGGTTTTTTCTTTAAAATCTGACATTTAAGACAATATTTTTAAAATCGTATTTATTAATTTAATGGTTTTAATATAGGAGTACAGGTTTTTTCTTTAAAATCTGACATTTAAGACAATATTTTTAAAAGCGTATTTATCAATTTAATGGTTTTTAATACAGGAGTACAGGTTTTTCTTTAAAATCTGACATTTTAATCCCTTTTACTTTTATTTAGTAGAAAGAAACGAGCTAACGAATCAAAGAGAAAACATTCTACAATAAAACAGCTAAACACATGCCGTTCATATGTTAATTTTTATCGTTTTCTATACTCTTTAATCTATATGGAATTAAACAGTTCGATAGGTATTACTTAATTCCGAAATAACAGCAATAACGATGGAAATCGTGATTCATATAACTTAATATTTTATATATATCTATAATTATTATAAATATATATATATAATTCATATAACTAGAAAATATAATGTTGGTCAGGAATAATACTTCTTGGGAAAACTCTTATTCAATCTGGCATATAATTAAATCCATTCATATATTAAGATTTATAAAAAAAAACACTTAAATTCATACAATATTCGAAACATTCAACAGTAAAGAGGTTAGACTTCGTTCTTAATCAAAGATAGTTTTACGAACTTACAACACCACAAACCAGTGTTCGATTTCCTTCAGTGAACACAACAGATAGATGTGACTTTGCTCTAAAACAAACAACCAACCAATCGTTCTAATTTTAATAAATTATATTTTCTTATAACTGATTTGATTCTCTAAGTTTTGGAATACTTTTGTTTTGTTATATAGTTCTAACTTAATCGTATAGGAATTAAATAAGGATGAAATTAGATAACGAGCTGAAAAAATGTTTCGGAGCAAAAATAATTCGTAATATTTATCAATTAGGCATCACTATATTGCCCTTTCATACATAACTAATCTAAAATATAATGGAAAAATGACGATTTTAGCAAATTTTTAAGCCTTTCTGATAGTAATAACAAAACTTCATAATATTAACTACACACAAACCCTCATATTACAAACCTGAGCTCCAATAACGCTGCCATTTAATATCATTGCACAGAGTGCTTGACCATTTAAAAATGTATTTGGTTCAATACATTATAAAATGGTAACAAGTAATTAAGAGTGTAATAATGAAAAACCGAGAGCTGGTAGAACAACTCTTTGTCGTTTTTCGGCACTCGAGTGTATAATCCAGATATTCCATGTTTAATGATATTGTAGACGTCCATAGAGGGTAAGAACTTTTCTTATCATTCTTGCAATAATTCAGAGTTTGTCTTGTTGAAAGTATTTTTGCCGGGTAGATGATTCCAGTATTTTTTGGGTATGTTGATGAAATCGAAGCATCTTAACGTTTCAGAGCAAGTTGCTCAAGATGACTGATTAAAGTATGATTTATTCCGATAAACAATAAATGACTGTTTAAAAGAAGTTGTCAAGTCAACGTAAACGAGAAAATAATTGTAACTGTATAGAAATCAGGAAATTAACACTCGCTTTGGAGAGAGTAAGCATATCTCAAATAATATCTTAAATTTGTTCAACCTATAAAAAAATGTGATTGCGAAAATAAATGAAACTAAGCTCACACACACGAACACAGTATCACTATTAAAAATATATATTTTCTAAATAAATCTTATGAAGTAGAAGAAGTGGTGGCATCTTTAGAACAAGTAAAAAGGTTCTTGTAGGCTTTTCTGTACTCCTGACTCATTATAACGTAAATAATTGGGTTCACACAAGAACTAAAATAAAATGACACATAACCTAAAATGTTTGTCACTGGAAAATCGCTTTCTTTTCTGGATACTTTAACGATGGTCATTGGTAAGTAGCAGACAATGAAGGTGCAGAAGAGGACCAGAATCATCCGAAGAAGTTTGATATCTCTAGAAAGTTGTTTCCGTTTTCTGTTATTGGAGGCTGATGTCAAATGAAGTTTCCCACGAAGATTATTAAGAGTTGTTAACCTTGGGGACTTTGGGGGTTCTTTTCCGTTAAATTCATATTGTCTTTCCGAAGAAACTTTTAGTTGTTCTTGGACGTTTTTATGCGCTTTTCTGACGACCCAATATATCCGGGAATAGCAGATGATAAACGCAAAAGATGGCAAGACAAAAGCAAATACATATATAAAAACCTTTGGTGAACGGTTATTGAGTTTTAAAATTGTGCAGGATCCGGCAGAAGGATCAAATCCAAATTTCCCCCAAACTTTCAGAAGAGGAGGAAGGACGAAGAGGAAAGAAATAATCCAAATGAGAAACATCATTACAGCGATGGTGCGTTTTCTGTATATGATTTTATAATGTGAAGGATGAACCATGAGAATATATCGGTTCACTGTTATTGCCACGACACTCAGCAAAGACACTCCTACATTGGTGAATCTTATTATAGGAAACACCTCACATAGTTTATCACCATGTGCCCATGTTCGTTGAATTAAAGTCGAGACAGAAAGAGGGTTAGAAAAAGCGCATATTAAGGCATCAGCAATACAAAGATTGACAATAAACCACGTTGTTGCATTATTTTTCAGACGGGGACAACGAACTAATGCTATTACAGAAATGATGTTTCCCGGGACCCCTATAATTGCAAATATGATACAGCAGGTCGCACCGAAGTTTAGTAAACCAGTTGGGTAATCCTGAAATACAGCTGTACTAGTTGTATTAACTGAAGAAAAAGTGAAGTCATCCAATGTATTAGTGTTGTACTGGTTATTCCAAGAAAACGTTGAGTTTTCTCCATTTATATTTCCGGTTTCGAAATCTTGACTGTCATTTCTCGCCATTAACGTATTTTGAAATCCTTTTTCACGAGTTTGAAAAGCCAGTGCAAAACAAAAAAACTGGTTTGTTATAGTTGTCGTTTATTAACTGATTTCCAGTTCAGCAAACTTATAAACCCAGCGTTATCTGTTTTTCTTGGGTGGATATTCACTTCCGTTTTGGATGATGCCAGAGAAAAGCAGCGGAAGTTTGGAAAGTTACATTTCCTGAAAGATTATTTCAAGCTGTGCAATTTGTCAAGAAAAATAGAAGGAGCGCTCGTGTTAGTGACTTTTATTTTTTCAGTATGAGATTCGAATTCTCTCAAAATCGTTTCTCTGTATTTTATGAAGCAGCGTCGCCCAAACTAATGAATTTAAATCTTTAAAAAATATATATTCTAAACAAATTTGTCCTCAGGTATAAAAGTTCTGATTTTTCCGCCCAAAAATAAGGCATTTAACTTTTAACATTTAACCTCAATTATATACTACTTTTAGATTTCAAATATAACTCATTTAATCTCTTTTCAGATCAAACCATTATGCATTGTTCAACTTTTACGAAGCCAAATTAGTCAGGCAAACAGTAGCGAAAATTAGTGTCAGTTTTAAATGGGAAAGCTTCGAACCTTAGCTATATGAGTCCAAAATTTCTGGTTTTGAAGAAAACGTACATATACATATATACATAAATGGAAAGTATTAGAGGTTTACATTTATTTTGTCATTCTAAAGGTCACCGTCGCTCAGCACCAAATTTGAGGGCTTATAACGATACCCACTGTGGGCAGAGCGCTGATAGCCCATTATATAGTTTTTCTTCTTATAAAAAAACTAATAAACCAATGAACTATATTCATGTAACCTCGTTTAGCAAAAAAATGTGCTGAGAAATTTTCGAATGGCTGAGACACACCTTTTTTTTTCAATTATAACATGGATATAATGTTATTAAAAGTATGAAGATAAATTCTTTTACAGAGAAAATATAGTGTGTATTTCTTTGCTTTTTAACTTAGACAGGGGAACCTTTTATGCTTACTTAAAATGTTCAAAATTTTCCACACATATAAACACACTGGCGCACATACAGATTTGTCAACTAAACCTGGTCCTGGAATGCAGATACCATGTGATTGTCTTTGTTATTGATCGTTCTTTTTGTTACAACCAAAAACTTTCCTATGGAAAGCAAATCGCAGTAGAGCTATAACGATTTAGATGTAGTGTTTGTGAAGATTTCCTTCCTATTATTGCTGGTGAACTAGCTAATGACATTTGTAACGTTAGGGGGAATGGATCTAATGTTTTCTGTATACAGTCTTTTTTATTCTCTCAATCTTATTTTGGTTTTCTGAAATTTTAACTTGGTTTTAAACTGTGTTTGATTTCTTTCTTAAAATTCAGAGTCAGAAATTACGATTTGTTTCTGCATAACATTTTCTGCCGTTTCGCTTGTTATCTACAGTTACAATTTTTTGCCTGTATGATTAATCAGAGTACATAAGAATACCCAAAACAACAGCAAGCTTAGAAACAATCTGTATAATTTTATAATCTATAAATAAATATATCGAAGAAGCATTTTTTCTCCACCTACTTACAAGTGCGGTTTATTAGACAATCTTAAGATTAAGTTCACTTAAAAGGCAAATAGTAAGTTTTTCAATGACCACACTTCTGCACTACTTCATAACTGAAAATCTAAGGCAAGAAACGTCATAGGTAAAGCATAGTTTTGCCGTAAGTCATTACGTCAATGATATATAGTATGTTATAATCACAAAGACTTGCATGCACTTACTATTCACACACAACTCAATGTTTTCGCACACGAATACCTACACAATCCAAATATTTTGAAATTGTTTTACAGCTCCCTACTACCAAGCTTAGTTACTCTTCAAATAGACATGATATATATACATATATATGTGTGTGTGTATATATATATATATTAGATCATCTTTTAGATACTTAGTATTTTCAAACTAAACGGCTCCCCATGTAACACATAGGCTAAATAGGCTAAACCAAAGACTCAAGATTCAGCCATAATCATTCGTAATATTAGAACTGTTGACCAGAAAGAGAGTAGCCTGTTAGCATCACACGCCACCTACACGGCTATTCTTAACCAGCTAGCGGAAATGACTGTTATGGCTATTATTCCCACAAAGCTGAAAGTACAGAGTGAGTTTAGCAGCGTATCGTGTAACAAGTCTTGGACCTTACGATACGCAGCCCAGCATGCTAACTACTAAAGTCTGATAGAAAATTTAAGCAACATGTATGTTCAAAATATTTCTTAAGTAGTTACTAGATGGCGTCTATAGAGAGAATAATGAAATCAGTTATCTAATAGTTATAATTCCTATTTAGAATTTTACTTCAAATATGAACCCGCGGCCGATCAACGGTAAGTCTGGGGGTTTATTACGTAAGAAATTAGGTTTCGATACCCGCAGTTGGCAGATTACAAATAGCCTATTGTGTGGCTTTATGTTTAACAACAAACAGACAAACAAACCTGTATTAGTTCTGTAAACATATCTGTATCGGTGAACAGGATTTTAATATAGGATCTATTGAAACTATCAAAATTCCCTTTGAGACAAAAATATAATTGTATGTAATTGATTAAATGTACGATTATAATAAGAGTATTAGCCTAAGTAATACAACTTTTACAGAAGGTTTTGAGGTATACGCAAATAATATATAAGATCATGAAGTCAAATTAATTTCATTTTGGTAAAAATGACAATTTTATCCTATATTACAGGACAGTGTTTATAAAGAAAGTTTCGCACTTAAGCGCGTCATGTTTCATAAACGATACGTCACAGGAAGTTGAAATTGCACATGTGTGGTAAGTGTATCATATGGATCCAAATTACATGGTTGTCACTAAAAGCGCCACTATGAATTCTATCTCACATTTATTTGAGCATAGATGGGTCTGTTGATCGCAGTTTAGTTCATTCAACCAATAAAAAAACAGATAAATGTGCAGAGAGGCGTAATATTAAAATAGTATTACGTCAAAGGATGTAATGCCAAGGCACCTCTCAGCAAATACCTTAGAGTGCATAACAGCCAAAGAGATCCTTGTTCCAGTGATGCTGTGCGCAAGTTCGTTAAACATTTTTTTAATGAAACTTGTGATAAGCCAGGTGCAGGCAGACCACGATAACTATTGAAACTATTGCTGAGGCTAGAAGAACAAGCCAGTATAAATGCATGGGTACAGCAGTACATATTATGTTGCTCCGTGTTTAGTTTTGCCAATTTCAACTATTTGTAAGGTTTTTTTGATCAACTTTATAAATATTTCCTTACAAGCTGCTTCATGTTCAACTACTGAAAGAGTTGAGTTTAACCCAATGTGGTGATTTTGTGTTGGAGTTCTTGGCAAGACCAAATAACTTATTAATATTTTATAGACTGTTGAAGCACACTTCACCTTTCTGGAAGTATCAACATACACAAATGAATTATTTCGTCCGAAGCTAATCCATATGTAAAATTTCCTACACATCTCCATGATGCTAAGGAGACAGTGTGGTGTGTTTTCACAGACGGACTGTACTTTTTTGAAGAATCATCAGTACATGGACTGCTAACCTGCACCATCAATCCTACACGGTACCATGCAATGTGATTCAGCAAAGAAATGCGATAGAGAATGTGTTCATCCATATACTGGTAACCAGGTGAAACTGATTTTTGAATGTGGGAGTACCTGAAGTCACGCAGGTACAGTGGAAAGTCTTGTACAATTCCTGAAAGTGGCCAACATACTAAATCAAATTGGAACTGCTGCTGAAACGTCCTTTGCCATATGGATTTAATGAATTATGGACGCCTTAGGAGCACATTTTAAACAGTTTTTGTAAGTTATCAGCCATTAGGCTACAACGACACTCATAGCGTTTGTGAGATATGAAGTTCTGAACTATGAAACAATCTTTATAGTAATTTTTCTGGTGTCATTAATTGTATATTTACCTTGCATTATGCAATATTCACCTTACCTCATACTCGAGTGTATTTAAGTATTTTTGTTTAAACTTTACAAGCTTGAACTTTATTAACTGACATTTTGTTTTCGGTCGTTTCGATTTACTACAACATTTTCTTAAGGGAATATCTGAGGTCATTTGTTGTAAATCAACACGCTGTTAACCAATTTCATTATACTTAATATTCAGTTCATTCAGTTTTTTTGGTGATAGTTCTATATTTTTAACGATTCTTAAATGAACCAGAAACGTTTGACTGAACACGTAGTGGAACAATCCATAAATATATCTTCTGAGTGCCGAAGTATGAATCATGACTGAGATCGTTAGTAAGTAACTTTTAATTCTATTTGCGAAGCTGTCAAGCTATTCGTAAAACATCAACATCTGGTTTGGTTCGATTTGTTTTGAATTTCGCTCAAAGCTACCCGTCCCTAATTTAGCAGTGATAGACTACAGGAAAAATAGCTAGTCAACACTACCCACCACCAACTCTTAGACTACTCTTTTACCAACAAATAGTTGGATTGACCATCACATTATAACGCCCCACGGCTAAAAAGAGACCAGTAGGCCATGCTAGGTTCCTCAACATCTCGAACAATGTTGTTGCAAGCACGATGGAATTAACTTAAATGTACATGACATTCGTCCCAGAGGAGATATGAATACATGCATATACAGAACAGTTCTCAGGATTCGCTTACTGACATTTTTCTCTGTTTTGAGGACCATTTCGACCATCATATTCATTTTTAATTTTTAGTTTATTAATAGAAAGCTTTAAAGAATAGCATGCATCTGATAAAAGCATCCGAGTCTAAGTATGATGACACTAGTTTCATAAAAAAAAAACATAGTGCTTTCTCTTTTCTTGGCAAGACTGACTTTGAGTCCCATAGACCATCATTTGTGGCTGACAAATGAAGGTCTATGGGACTCAAAACGTATTAAGAATTAAACCAGCCTTTATTTTAAAATGTATTAAGTTAATATTTGTTTGCCAGTACATATAATCTTCATTATTCTGGAACACCTTGTTATACCTCCCCCCCCCCTCCCCC